GCGCGGCGTTGTACGGGAGCGAAACATGGACAATGGGTGCGCCGGAAAAGAAAAGGTTAGAAGCGTGAAGCATGAAGGTCTAATCAGAGACGTATTAGAGGCAGAAACGGGAGTTAGGAGGGGTAGAGGTAGACTTAGATTAGAATACTGTTCCCAAAAGTTAAGGATGTGGGATGTTTTAGATTTAGGGAAATACGAAGATTAGCTCAAGATAGGAAGGGGTGGAGGTGTGTGTCCAACGAACGTGATGCATATGTTGTAGATATTAAAAATGCGTTATCAGTAACGCAAAAAAAAAAAAATAGAAGGAATACGTTTCAATAGAAGTAGTTAGATAAAATTTTATGATAGAATGAAATATTCACGAACTCTTGGAATTGTATTAGCCGTGAGCACGCGGAAAATTTTTATTGAGTAATCAAATAATACTGCATTGCTTGCGAAGAAGTTTCAGAATGCGGGATTGACTTGCTGTTAGATAGTCGCTCCGATCCATGATCCAGCAGACCAAATCAACGCTCCACTTTTTTTTAGTCCTTACACCTAATTGGCGCCACCGAGAAAAGCGGGACAACAAACGTTCCGAACTCATTATGCGCAACAGATAAATAGAGCAAAAACAAGTGGTTGGTTAATGAATTTCATGGCTAATAAAACGGAAATTGGGCAAATCGAAAAATATTCAACGAGAAATATGAACCATGACCTACGCTCAAGGTGAAGGGAAACACATTCGTACACGCAATAGATTTTATGTAGCATGTTCAATATGATTTTAGTGATATGCAAACATTAAAAGATTGAATTCTGTTTTGAAAGATACGGCATGGTATAGGAAAATTCATAGCAATATCTTCAGTCGTCCTAACTCATATTATAAATGCGAATGTGAAAGAAAAGAACATAGGGTACATTGTATCCAGAAAAAAGATATTGGTACCGAGGGATAGAAGAATTAGTTTCACGTGTTCGTAGATGATCTTTGACACGTATTTAGTACATCAACGCGAGCGAAGCCGCAGATAAAACTTATCATAAAATTTTGCACACACATTGTCAGGGGTACAGAAAAAGACATCGGGTACCTTTTATTCAGAAAAAGGTACTGTTCCCGAGGGATAGAAAAATTAGTTTTACGTGTTCGTCAATGATCTTTGACATCTACTTACGACATCAATGTGAGCGAAGCCGCGAGTAAAATCTATCATGAAATGTACACACATTGTCAGGGGTATAGAAAAAGACCTACCCTATGGTACCTTGTATCTAGAAAAGATATACCGTTATCGGGGGATAGAAGAATTAGTTTTATATGGTCGTCGATGCATTTTTTCTTATGCAATATAAAAGAGAAAATGCTATATTCGGTAAACGTTTTGCCAAAAGTTTCCTTTTAGATTTATTTAATTAATGCGGATTTTATGAAAACCTGGAAAATTTACCTACTTTTATTTATTTTCCAACTTTCATCTATTATCGGTTTACCCACGTGACCACATGGATGGACTGAACTCCTAATTTATGATCATCATTTATCTTACAGTCAACTGTACAATTCGAAATTCTGGATGTACCCATGAATATACAGTAAATTGTTAATTTCTTAAATTAAATTAGCACTACCAAGAACTAGATTAAATTTAAAGAAATTATAAATTTAGAAGATTTACTTGTTTATCCTTTGATTAATTGAGCTTCATTCTATTGAGTTTTAGAAGTGAAAGTCGATTATCCAAAAGTTTAGATTATGTTAAGACAAGTTCTACAAAGTATAAGCCAAATTAAATCGTCAGTTTACGTTTTAGTTTTCCCGAGTGAAAAACTTTTTATTTATATATACATCTTTCTGTACTTTGTCTGTGTGTGTATAGGTACAATATTAAAAGCCAAAAGCTCCACAGACTTTTTTCGAATGATGAGCAGATGACTAGGCCATATTTGACGTTCTTATCGTTGCTCACATAAAAATTTTGTAAAATCGCCTTCCTTTGCATTTTTTTTTTGTAAATTCGCGCGAAACTATCGATATTCGATCCTCGAGCTCGTTCGTTTGGAATAAACAAGCGATGCGTTGCCGTGGCAACCAAGATCGTCGGATGGTAACAACGCCTATCTGTTGCTAGGCGACGGTGAAGAGCGTCCTGGCGCCTATTGCGAAATGCGGAGTCGATAGAGAAAAGCGCGAGCTCTCGCAATGCATGCGCCCTCGCTGCGCTCTGTTCCGATGTAGAGACGCTCGCGTCGGGGCTAGGAACCGATTGCACTCGCGATTTTCTAAAATGTGCGTATGTACGTACTTTATTGGGTACCCATTAGAGCCCTGATACCTGCAATACTTAAAATAAGTCAATGCAAACTGTGCTACATTTGAAAGCTCCAAAATGACGTACTGCGCCGTTTTTCTTTTGGTTTTTCCAGGAAGAATTAAAATAACATTTAGAGTAGATCGATGCACATTATAATAAATTTTTATAAAAAAGGTAACAGGGTGTGAAACTAGGAAATTCCAAATGGTTTCTTAACCATTCTGTACTTGAGGACAACTTTCATAGTTTGCAACATTTGAAGGACTCGAATAGAGTTGTAGGAAAAGAAAACAAGGGAATTTCAAAATTCTGCCCAGTAAATATAATCTTATGGTTAAGCCTTATGACTTGTTGGTTTAATTATTTAATTTTATATTTTTATTTTTAACAATAATACGTACGTAAAGCTTTCAAAGTTCGGGAAGGAATAACTCTAAAGATTGTAGTTGAGAAAACGGGAGTGCATTTTCCGTGGCAACGTCTTTGCTACCGGTATCGTGGCCTGGTGCACGTATCGATATCCAGAAGCGCCGTGACGCCGTCGCATCGGTGGCCCGGTGAAGTCGGTTAGCGGCTCCCGTATTAAGTGGCGCGGAGGCGGCAGTGCGCTGGCAGGTGATGAAACGATGCAAAAAAGTGACGCAAAAGTGTGCAATTCGCGCGCGCACGCGGCACAGCGACGCAACGCGTCTGTCGTTTTCCCCATCTCTCTCGCACTTCAACTTCCTTAGCGATTACATTTCTCGCCCTCTCTGTTTTCGTACGCTTGGTCACCGGAGATTGATTAATACTATCGGGGTAAAGGCAGAAACCTGCTTGTCGCCGAGACGGACGAGAGCAAAACCGTATTTTACGTTGGTGCAAGAGAAAAGATTAAGGACGAAGTATAAGGATGCGGCGCTTTGCCGACACGGATGCCGCGACGCCTGCCTTCGTCTTGATGCACTGTTCGGTGTACAGGTCGATGGACAACTTTTCGCTTATTTTTGAAAAATGTATGTATTCGGAGTTGGTTAGCACATGAGTAGGAACTTTGGGTCCTTGATCTCCCATAGATTCGTCTCTCTAACCCGGTGTTGTCCTGGTAAAAGATTATATCAGACAAAGACCTATCTCCCATCCTAGATATACAGTACTAGATCTATGTTTTATTAAACCACTACCCACTTCTATCGACAATGGGTGACTAAAGCTTTTTTACCACCATAACAGCGAGTGGACAGTTGTAACGAGAAGGGAGTCTACTTTTATACACTGGTGGCGAATTAAAAACAGAACATAGGGATATTCCATTACATTCAAATGTAGTCAAATACTTTTCCACATGAGTAATATGGATAATGCATCAACCATCAGCTCATTTTTCGTTTCCTACTGTGGTACGGAGAACGACGCAAGGTACTATTCGAATACTGCACCCGAACACGTATCCGAATACTGTATTCGAGTGCTGCATCCTAATACTGTATCCGAAAATCGATTCCAAATACTGTATTTGAATATTGTATTCTAATACTGTATCCGAATATTGTATTTTAATATTGTATTCGAATACTGTATCCGAATATTGTATTTTAATATTGTATTCGAATACTGTATCCGAATATTGTATTTTAATATTGTATTCGAATACTGTATCCGAATGATGTATCCTGCTGATGGTTTATCCGAATGTTGTATTCTAATCCTATATCCAAATACTGTATCCGAACACTGTATCCGAATACTATACTTGACAACTGTAGCCGAATGCTGTATCCTGATTCTGTATCTGAATTTCGATTATAAGTACTGCATTTGAATATTGTATCCGAATATTGTATTCTAATGCTGTATCCGAATAATGTATCTCAATAGTGTACCTGAAGAGTGTAGCCGAATACTGTATCCGAATATTGTATCCTGATACTGTATTTGAATATCGATTTTAAATACTCTATCCCAATATTGTATTCTAATACTATATCAAAATATTGTATTCTAATGCTGTATCCAAATACTGTATCCGAACGCTGTATCCGAATACTGTACTTGAAGACTGTAGCCGAATGCTGTATTCTGATTCTGTATCTGAATTTCGATTATAAATACTGCATTTGAATATTGTATCCGAATATTGTATTCTAATACTGTATCCGAATATTATAGTTTAATACTATATCCAAATATAGCATTCTAATGCTGTATCTAAATACTGTATCCGAACACTGTATTCGAATACTGTACTTGAAGACTGTATCCGAATGCCGTATCCTGATTCTGTATCCGAATATCGATTCTAAATTCTGCATTTGAATATTGTATCCGAAAATTGTATTCTAATACTGTATCCGAATATAACATTTTAATACTATATCCGAATTTAGTATTCTAACGCTGTATCCGAATAGTATACCTGATGATTGAATACTGTATGCGAATGTTGTATCCTGATACTGTATCTGAATATCGATTTTAAATACTGTATCCGAATATTGTATTCTAATACTGTATCCGAATACTACTCAGCTCTGATATCTAGTATGTCAGGATGCTGTTTTAATGATTTCTACCAGTGCAAATGCAAAACGCATTTGGAAATTAAACGTTTTGATTCATTAACAATGCGAACTATTAATGTAGATGTTTCCCTGGTCGTTATCATTTCAAGATTGAATGTGTTTAATTACAAAATCGCATGTGCCATTGTTACAGAATCCACCGTCAGAGTTGCATCCCACTATTTGCGGATATTCTTCCTTAAATGGAGCGTACATGCATCAAATGAGGCCCTACTCAAAAACACTTCAGACAGGTCCTTCTAGTAGCTGGGTTTCTAATTCGTCATTTTATAGTCAAGTGAGTGAACCAAGAATAATTAGTAACCCATGTTACTTACAAAACCCGCATACATAGATACACTTTTTGAAAAAACATTTTAAGTAGCCATTTGTTTTTCGAATTGTCGACACAAATTGCTTTCGTTTTGCTAACGATTTGAGAGGCGGGAATAAAAGGCATTTATCAAATAATTTGGTCAGTCATAAAGGCATTTTTATGAGATCGCAAACGTTATGACGGTGTTTGAAAATGCCCATAAAGTCTGGGAAAATAATTTTATCAAGTTGTTTAGAACAATTTTGTGGACAATATATTTCAATTATTTTACCAATAAAACTCAGCAAAATATATAGTCAGATCACAAGATATAGCCAAAGACAAAATGTTTAAACTTATACAAAATGACTCTACAATGTCATTATTAGTATTGTTTTTAATTTTTGATGACCCTAAAGTAATTTACATAAATTCAAGATTTAAATAAAATATACTGATAGTTAAATATAAAAATGGTGAGATCAAAAGATACATTTGCAGAACTAAAAAACTATTTAACTATATTTTCATCATCATAAGGTCGTCAGTCCTAAGACTGGTTGGACACGTACCTCCACTCTTTCCTATCCTGAGCTAAACTTCGCATTTCCCTAAAACTAGAACAGCCCACATCCTTAACTNGCGTCTTATTATTTATAATAAATTAAAATAAGTTATTGACTTCACCTATTATTCTATATTATCTATATTATCCTCCAAAACACTTTAAAAACTAAGGGATGTGACATTAGTTATTTAGGGATGTATGGCGTCTATTGACGATGCATGAACGCCATTACACGCAAAAAACTAAATTTTTATGGAAATGCAAAAATTACAATTTTCGAATTGCCCACATCCTTAACTATTTGCGAACAGTAATCTAATGTAGGTCTACCTACCTACCTACATAGGTGTCCTACCTATCACTCCTATTTTTTATTGACTTCCATAGAGTCCTCTGTTCTCCTATTCTTTCTAATACCTCTTCATTTCTAACCTTTTCTACCCACGTTATCCTCATCATCCGCCTATAACACCACATTTCGAACGCTTCTAACCTTTTCTTTTCCGCCGCGCCCAGTGTCCATGTTTCGCACCCGTACAACGCCGTGCTCCAAACATACACCTTTAATATATATTTTACGAATTCCTAATACCTTTCGTTTTAACGAATGCTAGATATTCAGAATATGTAGGTAATAATTTCTCCTTAGGGTCATTCCATGGAACCTCTACAACACCAGCAAGGTGAAGTATGGCAAAATTATCAGGAAACCAATTCATGTGGTAAGTTGGCATGCTCCTTTACAAAAAATAATTTCATTTAATACCTACCATAAATGTAATCAAGGACTTTTTTATATGCAGTAGACATTTGATAGTGTGAACATTGCATAACGGAAACTCCGATAATGACAAAAAAATTGTATAGGCAGTTTCTTGATCAACGAGATAATAATCTTGTTGTGGGTAGTAAAATAATTAATCAGAAAGCAAAATTAATATATTCACAAAGAAGTGAAAATGATAAGGAACAGTGAGGGATTACTACAATGAATTCTGGGAAAAATTATCGCCTCAATAATTGCTTCTGTCTTTTGATAAGTTCATCAAAAACAAAATTGCAAAAGGTCTCTACAATTTTGGACTAGGACGTGTCAGAACATTTAGATCATGGGTCATGACTCATAGTTACCTATCTAGTTTTTACCTATAGTTAAGTCATGAAAAAAGCAATGGACTTTTGTAACGTAAAAACTGCAAATACGTATAAAAAATAATATTTAGTCTTTTCTGTGTAAAAATGGGTAATGGTATCTTATTTAAAAGTAGAAATTAAGGATGTTTGGGAGATACAATCGGAGACAAGAGTACATAAAGTTAGAAATTCGTGATTAATTAGGTTTTGCAGCATATCATGAGCTAAATAAATACTATCTATACTAAAAAAAGTATACGGTTTAAGAAAAAAATTGGAATTTGACAAAAAACTTTGAATGAAATAAGAAATAACAAATAATATGGAAAATTTTTAACTGACTTTTGGCAGTGAATATGCCTTGATTTCAACTTCGAAACAAAAAAATATTTAGTTTCAATGTCTATTAATAATGAGCGTCAATTTCAGACAATTATAAATATTATCATATTATCAAGTAAAAACGAGATTTTCAGCTAATTTTTCATTTTTTACTCGATAACCATCTAGTGAATTTGAATAACCTTACGCAAAAGTGATTCTCCAGAGTTCAAGTTACTTATTATAAAAGTTTGAAATTTCTGGTAGCTTTTTTTCTGTTAATAAAAATAAATTTAATCTGTTCGGTTAACGAATCTCCATAAAATGACGTGTAAAATTACAATTTTTTAAAATTTCAATAACTTTTTAACGGTTTAGTGAATTGATTTGTAATTTTTACAGGAGTTTTAGAATTGAATGAGGAACGTTCTTCCTAATTTTTATTTGTCTCGTAGCATTTTGACATTACTCCCAAACATCCTTAAGTGATGTTCTTGATGGTTTAACAATTGTTCGTAAAGACTCGATAGATTCTGGTTAAGGTTACAAAAGATGTAGTTGCATCAAGAAAATTTCTTTTGAAATCGGCATTCCTGCTAATTATTTCATGAATTAGGCAAAATTTTACAAAGAATACGTACCTATACGTATTAATAGGTAAATACACGCATTCGACGTAATATATAGATTAAATACCTGCAATATTCGCTGCCTTGAAAAATTTGATAGTAAGAACAACTGCTTTTTCAGTTCACACTATTGCAGTTCTACTGTGTATGTTTTTGGTTATAGTTAAATAATTCTTTTTACAATAAAAACCATAATTAAATCCCAATTAGCTACAAATTACATCCCGGACGCCCAGGTTCATTCATTTCCTTCAGGATCCGCGGATTTGATTCCTTCGATATCTCGTGGAAATTGTCAGACCGAGAAAGACCCGTTTCCGAACAACTATCAGATACAGGCTAATAGACATCTGACCGAAAATGTAGCGCTAAATGTGACCCAAAGTAAAATGTCAGCGTCGAGTATCGACAAGAAGGGCAGCAATTTACCGCTGCCCATGCATTCGCCACTGTGCTGCGAGAACGATGAAAATTCCCAGCAATACGCTCAAATTTTCAATGGCTCGCAAAATGATCCTGCGGTTCCGGAACAAAACCGCTTTGGCGGTCAGAAGGAGTCCCGAACGGAAGAGGTATGTCACATTATATTGTTTTTGAATGTTTATAATCTTACATTATGTTTTTTCGAACATGATTTTCTCAATTGCTCAAAATATTTATTGAAAGCGATGGCTGGCAAATAATAATAATCCGAAACTGAGAAATGTCATTGTTTAGAAAAATTAACTTAATTGGTGTATATTTTGTTTTGATTTCGTTTTTATTTTATTGACACTATGAAAAATTAGATACTACACCCACACTTCACCGAGAAAATGAAAAGGGGAAATTTACTTAAATATTAAAACGATATTTACAATTTATCCCACTAGCCCGTTGCTTCGTAAGCGAAAATAATAAAAATTACAATTTGGACCTGAATTTGTAAAAATAAAATCCCAGCAGAAATAAATTTACTAGGTACTTTAGTTGATATTACAAATTAAATTGTAATAATTAAGAAACTTTAAATAATTTTTAAAAAAACACGTTAAAATTGACATTATTACAAGTTACCTACTAAATACTGCTATTTCTACTACAACTTCAGTAATTTAAAATCAATAATTCTGATTTTTGCGTTGTGATAAAAATTTAGTTTTCTCCGTGTTGTTTTATTTTTGATGTTATATTTCTTTTAGTGCGTTGAGAGTGAGCTATTAGCATGTGACGGAGATTGACTTTTTAAGTGAGGCGTGGTAGGTTAAAGAATTGCTCTTTTATCGTCGCAATTTTTTTTCTAACCTATCAAACTTTCATTAAAATGTCGATTAAAAAAATGCTATGCTAATTTCATTTTATTATAGATACACACACGCACACCTCTCTTCATTTTTTGTGTTGACTGTAGCAATTTTCATCGAATCTTTTGTTCTTCATTTATAATTTTTTTGTTTTCCGGATGTTTCCTTTGCCTGATCTCGTTTGCATATTTGGTTTGCATTAATTTGTTTTCTTCTTTTATTTTATTCACCAACATTTTCCGCCGCAATTTTATAGTCGCTACATTTCTTTATTTGCATTCGATTATTGGACGGGTAAAACGTCCTTGCCTCTGTTGCTGTTTACCCATCTTTATCGTAACTAGTGGATGTTCATGTCTGTATCTATTGTTTGTACTTTTCTTGTTAAAATGAGGAAATGTCTTCTGTAGTTGCCAAGTTCTCGTTCTGCGAGGAGAAGCGGTAACAATTCAACTTCGGCGTCGTCTTTATCGACGTCGAAAGTAAAAGCGCTACCGGATTTCAACGAGGCTTTCGGCTCGACTGAACGGGGTAGATTTCAAAGTCCGCCCGATCCACGTCTCATTTCGAACAAGTGTTTTACGGATTACAACATCTGCATGGATGACTGGGTCCGGTTTGACGACTTTCGCATATAATGGTGGTAGCGATTAGGGGTTAATTAATTCATTCGAAACCGTGTAATAGTTTTATTGCACAATCCAATCCAGTGAGATACCCCGAGAGGACCTTTTCTTCCTTCCTTCCTTGTTAGGCACGGATTTAAATTGTACTCCCACAGTTCTACTGTATAATATCACTTATTGGATTGTATTTTGTAAAGCAACCATGAGTACAAATTACTCCTACTCACGATGAAATAGAAAAACTAATTGCCAAACAGCGGAGATTTCTAAATTAAAAATTATAATTTATTAGGATAACCGTCAAGGAAGTTTTAGTGATTGCTAGAAAGTATAAAGGAGTAACTTTATACTATTTTTTTTGTGAACAAGAACGAAAGTCGGTTGTAATCGGAGTTATAATACGACATTATCCTTTGATCTTCGTTTTACTTTACTGCGATTAAGTTTGAATCTGAGATTGAGTTCCACGATAGTGGATTAAGTCTGAATCGGCTTCTTGTTTACATGTTATACGATATCGTTTCCTGATTCTATATAAATCGCATAAAACTGCAACAAGTAATTTAATAATAAACTCAATTCTGACCATTTACATTGCCGCTTTCTTATAATTCTGTAATGTCGTTAGTGAGAAGAATCGTTTTTTTTTGTCCTGGCTGAATGCATTAGTTACTTATTCAAAAACCGTGTACTTAGGCCGTCTTTGGCAATTACGATCATGTGACGCAGCGAGACGCCATCCGGTCTAATAAGGATACGCTGAAAAACGATATTAGGAAATTTATGTACATATAATGCATTTAATGAGTTACTATAGGTGCCATAAATTTGTGATCTAATTTGAAAAGGAAAGGAAGAAACAAACTTTTCGTTTTTGAATGATCCCTTAAACTATTAGAATAAGAAACATATCTGTGAGTCTCGTCAGGACTTAACAGGGGATGTTATTGATAGACTTTTTATACTGCCTGGACTGTTTAGATTTTTTCAGTCATATTATACGCTGAGTAAATTTTTATATCCTTATCCTAGGTTTGACGTATATTTAAACATGTAATTGTTTATGTTCTTCCTTTTCGTTTCTGTCAGATCAAAGGTTTATGGCCTTTATTACTTAAATAAAAAAAGGTTTTACCGATTCTAGTCACAATATGTGCGATATTCTTTTGTAGATACATATATTATATATAATAATTTTGTCAAAAGAAAGAATTGAAGATGTAAAATTAGGGAGTAGAATAAAACAAATATTTACCTAAGGGGTTGTAAGAATACGTACCTAATAATAATTATTATAAAATGAAAATTCACACATGTACAAGGTAACAAGTTAAAGCAGCAAAGTAGAGGACTTTGTCTTCTGTAAAAATCTTGAACAACTTTTAAAATTAGTCTGAAAACCATATATATATACATATATATATATACATTAAGTAGATAATTACATGTACGTACCTAATATTATACTATAAATACGCATCTATTAGGGGTAGAAAATAATTGTTATTCTTAACGTTTTTGGATACTTTTTGCCTTGTGTTTTACTTATGTTAATTAATTCGTCTAAAATTCGACTGCAACTCGAGGTTTAAAAAAAAAATGTGCCTTCAAACAGGGACTCTTTTTAAATACTTCTTGGTTTCTTTTATTGTATTTTATTTATTTGGGGACCAAAATTAAAATCATTTTTATTTAGTTTTCGAATTCGAGCATCAAGTCTAGAAATTCGAACGTTAGGTAGCTATATTATATTAGCACATACGTAATAACTTTTTCCAGGGGCGTAGCACTGACTAACACTTAAAGAATAGCAATTTTTGTTCAACATTTTTTTCGAATTGATTAAAAAAAAGGTTTTGTAGACGTCGAGATATGATTACAAAAATCATACATATAGCCATTAAATTTCAAATTTTCTAAAGTAAGGAATTCCAACCAAACTAATTTTTAATTCATCTACATCATCATAATAAGGTTTTCATCGCGAAGACTGGTTGGGTATACCCATATATGCATTTTCATTTCTTCCTTTTGAAGCCACATTTTGCATTTCTCGAAAATTCGAGCAACAACAATAGATAATCTAGTCTAAGTCTACGTCTACCCTTTTTAACTTTCGTTTCTGCTTGTTATATGTCTCTACCTAATCTTTTATGACTGAGAAGGTGTCCTACAAATCGATATCACTTGATTTCCATACCGCTCCCTGTTTTACTATTCGTTCTAAAATAAAATAAAAATTTCTTTTTGTTAAATACGATCGGCCCCTGTGCTATTTTTGGTTTTATATCTAGCACTAGCACCTGGACGGCATTTTAGGGTTAGGTCAAAAACTTGACTGCCAAAAATTTTTTAAAAGTAAATTACTCAAAGAAGTTATTTTAAAAATATCTTCCTCTAAAAAATTAAGTGTGCTTGAGCTTTGGGCGCCATCCTTGTCATTTTCTTCTGGACCTCGACAAAAATTTTCAAAAACATTCGGACCTCACCTAAAATTACTAGCCGATCCCTTCCCTAGATGTTGAAAATTAGCGACTTCTTCTAGTTTATTGTCCCTTGTTTCTATATTAGTTCTAACTTTACTTGTACATCCCTTATGTAGGTACCAAAATTTTTATTTTACCTTTATTAATTTTCATACCATATTCTTTAAAGCTAACTTTAAAACAACTTCTTGCTAGATGTCAATACTGCTAAAATTGCTGATATTTTGTCCCTGTACATGTAACCCTAAAGTTTTGTCTTCTCGTTAAATATATTGATCGAATCTTCATACATACATCCTTGTATAGCTCCCTTCCTAATCCTAGTATTTACTTCTCTATGATGTTCCTCAAAGTCTATAAATATTTGTTGCTCTTTATATAAACTATATACCACTCTTTTATCTCTTCATCCGCACATTCTTAAGTATTTTTAACATCTCTCATTTAACACTGTCAAACGCTTCTCTATACTTGTTTTTTTCTATTGTTTTCTTAATATGAAATCAGGCGTTTCTCTCATACTTCTAATTAAGAATTTATTATTTCTACGGTTGAGGTGACTCGTAATTTTTACTGCTACGCCCCTGGCTTATATTGTATATAAATTTGCAAATATAGTAAAAGTTTGTTGGTTAGATAAAGTTTTCTTCGTTACAGTGTTATATATCTATATAGATACTAAATATACGATAATATCAACATAAAAAGTATTTAAAAAATTGGCATCTATCTAACATGTCTTACTGATACGTATTTGAAGCTTGACGACTTGACTTGCGTATTGTAACCCATGTCGAAATGCCCTTTTAATCTTGAAAGATATTTCGTGCGAGGTAACAAAGACAACAGCAACACGTGATTGTATAAAAAAGTAGTTGTTGATATAAAGTCACATCGCGATCTTCAATGTGTAAATAAGTAAGTAATTTAGCATAAGGTATAGAAAACGATTTTGAATTGAAATTTATAGTTACCAAACCATATTTAACACGTAATTTATAATAATTATTATAATAATAATGTTTTCCTTTTAATCTCCGATTAGAAACAAATTGGGGTAATTAATTTTGATTAAAGTAATCTTTTTGTTACATTCAAAAGATATTTCTTCTTGATTGAAATATTTACGAAGAATAATATTTAACAGCTCAATATTTCGCATAACTACATTCTTCTTTATCGGCAAAAGATGACATAACACCTGTACATAGGGATGATTAATAAAAAAAAACATTACATTAGTGTCTGAATTCCCGGAACACGCGAATTCTCGTATGTTTGTTCTTTGAATTTTCCGGGAAATAAGTAAACACTTTAAAACTGTCAATAAATATTTTAGTTCGTCCCATTTACATTGTGAGAGACTTTCATGTCATTTGATGGTATTCATTATCCAGTTGAAAGTATTTTCACATCAAAAATTTGACGATTTCCCGACAGTTTTGTTTTCGGAATTAAATATCCAAATTTCCTGGGAAATCTACTAGAAGTGGTTGTTATGGACACATATGCAAACTGATTGCCAAACTAATAATAATTATAAGGAGTAAAAGGAAAACATAAATAATATGTTAATTTACTGAGATTCAAATTGTGCACAATGTAATAAGAAACAGTTTTCCGTAATCATTTTGCAGAATTTCCGAATTTGGGCGTGGTAGGTAAAAGATAATAGACTCTTTATGTGAACAAGAAAATTATATTATCCAAAAATTAGGTACAGGTCTGACGAAGGAAGCTGGCGAGCGGTCGCGCAGGTACTTGCCCATTTATGACCTATTTGGGTAAGTCACTTGGAACCGATACACAAATAAGCTTTCAGTAGGCGTAAATTATAGTATTAATACAGATAGGACAGTAGCGTACTAGAAAATAATGTAAAAACATGACTTATCAAAAAGAAAAAATTAACCTATTGCTTTTGTTTTATAGTTA